AATTGTATTGTTGTGTGTATATTAAAACGTATTTGTGTTAAAAAAAGAAAACTGCGTGTATCAATATTGACTATATATCCGCATTTATTTCAATACTAAATTCAAAGCACAATTTAACTACTAAATTTAAATTATTTAACTCGGCTTCAGACTATTCGAATTTCTAATACGTAACATCTGTCATTCCAAAAATAAAAGACCGATAGCATAAATAGTCCTTGTGTAGTTTTGTGAGAACATCTGAAACAAACAAACAATCATGTTGCCAGCAGGTTATCAACGTACGATAGTGAAATATTGTTCCAAATATCTTGTATTACATCCTATAATCCATCCATATTTGTTTGTTTGTTTATAATTAAGCACAAAGCTACACAATGGGCGATCTGTGCTCTGCCCACCACGAGTATCGAAACCCGAATTCTAGCATTGTAAGTCCACAGACATACCGCTGTGCCACTGGGGGTCCCATCCATATTGTTTGATCTTATGACAGCCCGGCATGGCTAGGTGTTTAGGGCGCTCAACTCGCAATCTGAGGGTGGTGGCTTCGAATCCCCGTTCCACCAAAAATGCTCGCCCTTTCAGCTGTGGGGACATTATAATGTTACGTTAAATCCCACTATTTGCTAATGAAAGAGTAGCCCAAGAGTTGGCGGTGGGTGGTGCTGACTAGCTACTGTCCCGCTAGTCTTTCACTGCTAAATTAGGCACGGCTAGCGCAGATAGCCCTCGTGTAGATTTGAGCGAATTTCAAAACAAACCAAACCAAACCAATTCCTACATAAAGTCCATACAGGCTTAAGAATGTTCGTATCGGAATTTTGTACAGGCAAAGCCATGATTGAGACTGTTTTATTAGGCTCTTTATCATCAGAATTTATGTTCCATGTTTCGGATCATTGTATAGTTGGAACATGAATCGACCCGATCAGTCGTGTTCCTGAGGGAGTAGCTTATGAATCAGAATCTGCAGAATCATTTTTGTATAGATTACTGATACCGTTGGCTAAGATGCTGCTCCAAACTTGTATTGGTTCCCACCATACTTTAGTACAGATCACGTACATTGACTATATACGTTCTCCTCTCCGTCGTTGATTGTTGCCGAAGGATTCGAATTTGGATCCATCTGAATAGAGAAGGGCATACTTCTATAATTTCGCTCTCTCCACTTTTTGTAATCTATGCCTATTTTGCTCTTTTGATTTGGTTACCTCTTCACTGCAATGGTTTTCAAGCACCTACGAGTCTAATGGGCGTGGCCTAGTGGTTAGTTCTTTGAACTCTTAGTCAAAAGGTTGCAGGTTTGAACTTGCTCTCACCGTGTCTTTTTATCCCTGGGCAAGATACTTTACTCCAATTGCTTCAATCTACTCAGTAGTTGAAAGTTTAGACGTGATGTATTGGCATCTTCTCCAGAGGGAACGTTTCACCATTCTCATACACTTCTTCCACAGGAAATACGGATTAGATACCGGCCCCACGTGCCTTTTAAGAACGAAAATAATTTACTTTCTTACACGTCCAGTCAGACCACTTCGTGCTAATGTGTATCTTACTGTTTTCGAAAATAACATTCATGCCTTTATTTTATAGCAAGATCTGTACTTAACCTTCGTCTATCTACTCAAGAACATGCCCTGAGATACCTTCTCACTTTTGGAGAGTTTCTGTTTTCTACACTGACTACATCTATAATTAACACTGTCAGTTTCATGTATCTTCTTCACAGTCTAACATACGCCTCCTACTGAAACATGGATTCTTTCCTCATTTTCTCACATGGAGTATCTTAACTAGCCAAAAATGTTATTTCTATAAACTGTCGAGCATTCCTGGATTCACACAATTATTAGTACAAGGTATAATACACCTGACTGCAGTTGTACTGGTGTGGCATTTTCTGTTTGGTTAGATGACACTCAATCACAGGGTAAACTATCAACAAGGTAAACTGTATTTATGAGTTCTAATATCTGATACTACTGATCTTAAAGAGAAATGTTAGGTATATATTCATACAGAGTTCCAGCATGAGAGCCAACAAATCATATTTTCTTATGCATTCTTTGAGATACGAGTTTGTCTTTTTTTTAAATATAGTGGGTTTATCTGTAAAAAAATGTTTCTCTTATAATAAGCATTAAATTTGTATTTAATCTAACATATTTATTATTGTGTCTAGTATGTGATTCACCCTACTAAAATAGTTTATTTTCTTTGCCAGGTTTTATTAGAACAAAATATGTGTCAAACGAAAAACCTATCTTATGACGATTATAAAACCTTTGTTGATGTGAATAAGCCCCTTTTGTCAGGACTTTTCTCTGATGAAATAAAAATCAAAAAGTTTTTGTTAATTCCATTCGTATCCACCAAACTAACAAATAGACAGTAGTGTTTTTCTTTCATACTAGGATGAAAATTAGTTTATGCCATGGTTGCAACTGTACCAATGATGATAAATACTATTAACTGCATAGCTAAAGATAAAAATGATTTTTATTTAACACTAGATCTGTGTGTTTGAGTTCTCAATATAGGATGTTAAATAAAAATAACATGAGTATATCAGGTATGCAAACTGATTGTGGCCATTGAAGCAGAAGGAGTTACTGGTTGAATTTATAACCAATTTTATGGTTTATAGTGTGAGAATTCATGACTGAAATGGCTAAATTATTTATGATCTATCATAAATAATTGGCTAGAAAAATGTCCTGTTAATTTTAAATCATTTCGTTATAAACGCTACTGACAACCCATCTACCATTTTCAATCGATAAAACATGTTTATAAATGTTTACAGTGTTTAAACTGGAACTATCCAAGAATAAAACTTACGGTTGAGCATGAATATAAATCACAATTTCAAGATTAATGTTTCTCTGCGCAATCATCAAAGCAATTTGAGGTGAGATTATACTATGAATATAATATAAATATTAGTATTCCCAGGAAATTCACAGTGGTGGAGCTCATTCAAGATGGCTGCGACGACTAAACGATGCTATCTCATCCAAAATTGCAAGTATTTTGAATATATATTTCACCACAAGAAGGTTCTTCCAAGATAGAGGCGTTTAACGAAAGATGTCATATTTACTGTGACATATTTAACCACTAAGAACGCCATTTTTGATTTCGATCAGATATGACATTAAAAAGATCATGTCAAGCTCAGAGGACAAAAAGGATTACTCTCTTAGGATCAGACTTTATATATCCATTTTGACGGTTTCGTTCTTACATGGCCTGTTATTTAGGGGGCTCAACTCGTAATATGCGGTTTTGCAGGACCGAGCTTTGTCGCCGAAAATATTAGTCCTTTCAGCTTTTGGGGGGGCATTATAATGTGACACTCAATACCACTATTCTTTGGTAAAGAGTTAAGTCGAATTACAAAGGTTTTGAAACTTAATAACTTTAACACGTTTCATCGATACTATAACATCTGTTCAATCTGAATAAAGGGACTGCCTTTAAAGTTTTATAGTCGATGTTCCTAAGAATTGTGTTGTAGAAGTATTACTAGGTACGGGCAAAACTTGGGCTTCTGTATTAATTCTTGGGGTTTCTAGCCCGGAAGTTCAGCTTAGGTATCGTTTTAGGTGCTTTAGGTTGAGAATATCAAAAGTTTTCATTTTTGCAGAATTTATTCACAAAGTCAAATCAGGCGTGAATTGAAATCAGCTTTCAGAATTAGAAATTCATTTCATTTTACAGATGCAGTTCCTAAGAACTGGTTATTTGTTGTTTATCAATCTGCGTGTGTGAAGGAATCAGTACGACCCACAATCAGATGATTGTTTACTCATATAAAATATCATATTTTAATAAATCCTCGGAATGTTTCTAGCAATACCCAACATATTCTAACAAAATTTGTTTTCGCCGTCAAGGCTGACAGTTTTACCATAGTTAGTGTAACTGAGGACAAACGACAACTAAGGATTTATGAGAATTTGGTGATTACTAATTTAAAGAAGATATTGATCCAATAGAGTTCACTTATCGTCTTCTCCTTATACGGCGCAATATATTGAAAAATATCATATATTAGCATTAACTCTTCTGAACCTTTAGCTTTGAGATCAATCTACTAGATAAAAAATGGTGTCTCTACTGCCAAATTAAGTGTTGAACCAATATAAAATCCGGTAATGAAATGTGATTAGAATTAGTTTTCTGTTCTTACAGAAATGGGGAGGTTTCGTTCACTTACTTTTCATCTTGAATTTATATATCAAAATTACGTTTACGTGCTGTGACAGAGATACTTAATGTACAGGTTATGATGTCTAGTTAAAATACGACCTTAATTAATTTACTTTTACAAACATTCTTTTGTTAGGGGGTTAGATAGTTAGCACTCTTTCGAGTCACTCCGTTTTCATACTATTTAAAACACCTCTTAATTTTAGCAGATTAAGATCTATGACAGAGTAATAGCTGAGTTGAATTCTGTGATTAATACAGAAAGACAAAAATAATTTTAAAAAACTGAATTATATTTAACTAAAGTAAGATCGTAGTAAGCAGGTAATTTTTGTTTCCCAAAAGTCGCATCAAATGAAATCGCAAGTTAATTTTATATCATAAATAGAAAAAATTGATATGAAAAACAATAACACATAAACAATCCCAAATAATTACGATATAGTGGTAAATTTGAAATGTTACACATTCTAATATTGAAAAATAAAGGGATTTCAATAGTATAAGATTAAAGCAGGTATTTTCAAGTAGCAAATAAATAAGTTTTTCTCAAAGAAACTCACCAAACTTAAGATAATCACTACGCTGGCTACACTTGCCATGACATACATTCCTACTCCCTCTTCCACCTACACATAAAAAGGTATTAATTATATTAATAAGTGATTACAGTGTGTAAATTCAGTTAAGTGCTTTACCAATAATGCAATATAAAACGACATAATTTTAGTTCAGAAGATTTTCACTACTTAAAGCTTTGTGTATACTTTTTTATTCCAAAGTGTTTTTAATGAAATTTTATTGGGACTTCTGAAATGTATATGATTATAAAAAAGGACATAGATACGGTGGATATTGACAATATTTAGTGCATTAAGCGTAACTGCTTACATTGGAGTTAAACTGAAGAACTTATAGGGAAAGCATTCTCACTACACTATAATGTTAAATAATTTATTGGGTAACTATAAATTACTAATATTTTTGTCAGAGAGGAACTATAATATAAGCGAAAACAAAGGTAAAGTTTGTATGATATGTCTTAACTAGCATTGTTTTGTAGTAAATGTTAAGTATAAAATCTGATAGTTATTAAAAGGAAGTTTTCAAAACATTTATTATGATAACAACATATGTTTTAAGACTTTGCTCCTTTGTTAAAAACAAGAAATTAACTACAATAAGTGTTCTAGAACACACAGGGCATTTGTAATTATAATTCTAAACGTTCCCAAAGTAAATTTCTTACAAATATACAGAAAACCTGACATATTTCAAATGATAAAAATATAATTTTCGTTAAATATCTCATATATAAATACATAATTAATAATCATTTACAGCTTAATATCAATTTATATATATATATATAATCTTGGAAAGAATAACAAACTTTTGAGTATCTACATTTATAATATCCAATGGAATGTTAACAAATAATAATTAAAATGTAACTTACGTAATCATTACAGAACTCTTTGACCTTTCCATCTGAGCATATTATTAGATTTTCATATTTGATTCCGTTTGGAAACATGAAATCTATAAAAAAAAACATTTCATTTGTAGGTTGAAATATATATATTTTAAATACCTAATTTCCGAGCTTATATTATATCTATATAGGATTACATGGTATTAAAGTAAGAATTGCTTTTAGAGTATAAAACGTGACGGAACATTTTTTCGCTTTGTTAATAACTGGTCCAATATGAGTATTTAGTAAGAACGGCACAACAACAACTTTTTATCTGTTAGACAATATTAATTCTTGGTGGCTGCTCAGTAGGTTTGGCTGTGTACCAAACCTACAGGTTGCTTGGTTTTAAAGAATTACATTTTTAGATCAGAAGATATTTGTAAGAGTTCAGTTGCATATATCTCTCACTCTTTTTGTAGCTATAAAATGCAAGAAATGGATTCCGTGTTTTAGCCTCATGGCATGACTCAGTCCTGCTTAATATTTCCCTTAACAGCCAGTGAAGTGAAAACTAAAAGTTGTAGCTTAGTAACCTGTTATATATTTTCCAGTAAAAAGGGTCACACATTTGAATCTCCCACAGCTTCAGTTTTTACTTCATCAGAAACGTTTATACCTTTCCAGGACTGAATGTTACCTCTTGAGATGTCTATAAAAACTTTAGTTGTTTTACAAGTCACCTTCTTGGGTTTTTACTGTGTTCTGCAACACATATTATGACCTTAATTAATATGTCGTGACTTATTACAATACCAGACTTGCACATTTCGATAGGTTATTATCGTGTTAATTGTACCAGACGACGAGTCCAAGTTGTTCAGGCGAAAGGTCTTCTTTTCTAATTGTTCCTGACTGGATGATATTGTGGTTCTTTGTCTTTGCTGTCCTGAACACTTTGCTGTGAGTCTTGCACTTTTATGAAAATCGCTAAAACTCTCTGTTTTTAAATGTTGTGTCCTTTGATTCTACACTAACTGTATGAATACTTCTGTTAAAAAAAGGACTTTTGAATATGTCTCCAGTCATAAAGGCTCACGTTTGGCAATTCACTTTTGAATCGTTAGGTAATTTCCCTGACTTAAATATATACATTCGCTAAACACGTCGCCAGTGACGCTATGTCTCGCATATGTAGTAAAAAGTCATTGTATTAGCATATGCAAGTAGTTCAAGTAAGTTATGTTCAGTCTTCTGTATTAACTCTGCCTATGGATCTTTATTTCATCTTCATTTGGAATTTAATTTATCTCTTCTCTAGACTGGCTGGGATGCCATGTTACATGGACGATATATATATATATATATATACATATCAACTATATAAATACATGACACATTATATTTTGCAACTCTTTAACTTCCTACTAATCTAGTGTTAGATAAGTTTAGAAAAAAATAATTCGAAAGTATGTGTATGCGTTTCTCTTTTTGTTTTTTATTGTTTTACCAAATCTTAATCCCACCAGTTTGTTTGCGGACTTACAACACTAGATACCCGTAGTGGGCAGAGCACAGATAGCCCATTGTGTATCTTTACAAACAACTAACCAAAACTTAAATGGTTAAGTTTATGACTAGAAGGTGAAGAACATTCTTGTTTCGAACCCCAGAAAGAGAGAAAATGCATTCACAAAACAAAATCTAAATCTTCCTAAACGAAAAAGATATTACATGCTTGGAAAATAGTTTGAGCCACAAAGTTATAAAAAAGGCAATGGTCATTACAATAGTATGTGGTCAGAAACAATATTTTAGATGTAACCAAATATCATTTACACTCTCATATCAATATAAAGCTGACTAACAATATTTATATCATTAAACGTCATAACTTGCTCATTCAGTGAAATTATTTATATTTAAAACATAAGGTATGCCATATGTCACTTTCTTTTATTTATTTTTTAGTTTATTTATTGTAATAAACATCTTTCTGTTTATTTATGTGGTCAAAAATCATGAATGCATGAATGTAGTAGCATAGTGCACTATAACTAACTTTTTCAAAGTAAGAGATTGGATTATTTTTTTACATTACCATCCCTATGATTAACCAGACCAGTTCACTCATGTTAAAGAACATGTATTCAAAATTCTATGAACTAGATAATTTCTGTTTTCATATCGTCTTATAATTTTACAAAATTATGTTATTTATAAATACAGAAATACGATACTCTGTAACCCGAATGCTTTCAAAAGACGGATCTTTCTTCTTCAGGAGCAAACAAGGAATGGATATGTAAAGCTCAGTGTGAGATAAAGTGAAATTTGAGTGACGTCATGCAGGCCACCATAGAAAACCGGAAGTGTTTTGAGTAGCTTTCAATGTATTGTTACAAGTTTTTCTCATTTCCGATCCAATTCTATCGGGAACAAGAAAGCTAGGTATGAAGAAGTTAAAGATGTATTGTTTTGAAAAAGAAAAAATGGTTAACAGAAACTACACTGAGTGTTAATTAAGGAAAGTAAAACTGGGGTATAAAGATTGATGAAAAAAAGTTAAATAAATATAATTAAAAATAACATTTAAATTATCATAAATAAATAATTAGTATTAAAATGATTAGGGGTAAAAATTGAGAATTCAGCTTGGCTGTAAGTAATAATCCGATTAGTGTGAGTGGGGTGACAGCTTTTATAGTGAAAATACTGTGATTTTGTCGGTAGGTTTTCTGTACAAGTCAGTGTGTAATATTTTACCCTTTAAAAGGACAGTGTCTTAGAGAAAGTAAATTTAGATAGGGAAGTAGTCGAGGGTAAACTTGGTTGTTTTGTGAAAGGTATTGACATAAAAAATAAAGTCTTGAAGTAATTCAGAACCGGATGTTCAACTCAAAAATATGTCATCTATTCAGTGTTTTCATGTATGAAGTTTTACGATGCTTTGTTGTAAGAGCTGGTTTGCAATGTGGCCCATAAATATATTGGCATAGTTAGGAGCCATTTTGGTACCAGTTTCAGTTCCAATAACCTGAAAGTAATGTTCGTTATTGAATTCGAAGTTGTTCAGGGATAAAACAAGGCTGGCAAAGTCAGTTACCGTTTGAGATTCTGATGAGTTAGAAAGGGTGAGGGCAGATTTCAAGTCTTTCATCATGGAGAATATTATGGTTCGTTTTTGAATTTCGCGCAAAGCTACACGAGGGTTATCTGCGCTAGTCGTCCCTAATTTAGCAGTGTAAGACTTGAGGAAAGACAGCTAGTCATCACCACCCACCGCCAACTCTTGGGCTACTCTTTTACCAACGAATAGTGGGATTGACCGTCACATTATAACGCCCCCACGGCTGAAAGAGCGAGCAGATTGCGAGTCGAGCGTCCCAACCACCTGGCCGAATATTATGGTAAAAGGAAGAAACTTCCATTGTACACAGAAGTCTGTTAGGCGGTAAACGTCCCTTGATATTGATTTTTTCTACGATATTAAGAAAGTTATTCAAGTCCTTCACGTATAAAAGGGAGAGTACAGGAAATACTTTTTTATGTGGTGGTCGACAAAAACCGACAGTTTCTCAGTAGCCATGTTTATGTTAGAAATTGTGAGTCGTCCGAAATTATCAGGTTTATGTATTTTCGGTAAGAGGTAAAATCAAGCCTGTCTGAGTATCAAGTGCTAGAAAGTTTCTTTGTTAATTTTCTTGTTTTGGAGGATTTTTTAAACTAATCAATGATGGTTTTAGTAAAATGTCTTGTAGGGTTCTGTGTAAGTTTCTTGTAGAAATTAATGTCCTCAAGTTGGCTATGAGCTTCACCGATATAGTCATGTTTGTTCAGAATAACAGTAGCTCCACCCTTATCTGCTGATTTTATTATAATATTGTTCTTTGATTTAAGATATTTTAGAGCAGTTCTCTATTTTTGGTTGAGATTACTCTGGCATTACTTGGAAGATTTTAAGGTTTGTAATATGTCATTTTCTACAGATTGAATATAACTCTCTAAATATGGTTCTCTGTTCGGCGGAGTTGTCCAAGAGGACTTTTCTTTGAAAGTCTGTGTAGGTTGATTATCAGTAGGGTGAGATTTGTTGTGAAAAAAAATCGCGAAGTCTTAGTTTCCGAGAGAATTGGTGTAGGTCAAAAAGAAGTTCAGTTTCATTAACAAAATTATCGTTTGGACAGATATTGAGACCTTTACTAAGAGTCTGTAAGAGCTATGTTTGAAAGATGAATTATGTTGGAGACATGTGTAGAGAGTTCATTTTTAATTTGTAGAATTTGTGAGGTCACTATTATTTTTTACAGGTATCAGTTTGAGATGACTTAGTATGGTAAAGGATGAAGTGTTTTCAGGCACTTGTTTCAGATGTTTATTATGAGAAAGAAAGGTTTTGATAGTTTCTTGTAGAGTGCTTGCTGCTATAGTAATTTCTTTTTTATAAAGGGGATGATTGAAAAAAGTGTTGTTAGAAGCGTTTTTTGAATTGGTGCTGTTGGTAAGAGGCTGGTTGTTATTATTCTTTTCAAGAAAGAACATAAGGGTCCTCTTGTTAAATTTGTCAAGTTCTTCTTCTTCCAGCGAGGAGTTGTATAGGTAATATTAATAGGAAATGTCTTTATCTAGAATATTAAGACAAAAGTTCTTGAGAATGCTATTGAGTTCTAAAGAGGTATTTTCCAGGATCTGTTGCCATATGATGCAGAAATGTTGGTCATGAACTCCTGTTGTGATGGGTGCTTTCTTTTGATGTAAGAGATGGAGGTATGTTTCTATTCTGTATGTAAGAAAGTAGGGACTTAGTATGTTGACTGTGTCTGGTGCGTTTCTCAGTGCGTTTGTTAAGTTTTTGAAAGAGTTGTTTGCTGCTGTAGCTAAGAGTTCACAGCGTCGCTTAGGTTCAGATACTGGGGTAAGAATGTCGCTCGAATCGTCAGTTAAAGAACGGGGAATTCAAGGGAAAGGAGAGAGAAGTTGTTGTCTTCTTCAGAGAGTGTGTGAAGTAGTGACGAAGCATAATATGTAGGTTGAAGGTCATTATGAGATCCTATGCTGATGGAAGAAGATCTAAAATGTTTTAATGAAGGGAACTCTACACAAGAAGTGAGGGCATGTTGACTGGCGAAGATTGTAATATTAAGCTTGCGCAACACTTTAACCAACACGGTCAGTCTATTAATTATGTATCTCTCACCGGCATTGAAACCAATTTCAAACTAAAACCGATAGAGTGATAAGAGACATCTATTGGATTGCAACTATAAATACTGTTCAACCATATGGAATAAACCCAAATCCTGGAACCAGTGATTTCCGGTCATTTGTTTGTTCTCTATCAGAACAATAGTTTTTTGCTCAGTATTGTGAATTTTTAATTTTTACCCCTAATCATATTAATACTCATTATTTATTTACGATAATTTCAATGTCATTTTTTAATTATATCTATTTAACATTCCTTTTTAATCAGTTTCTTCCCTTACTTTTATTTTACTTTATCAACACTCAGTGTAGTTTCTCTCAACCATTTTTCTTTTTTAAAACAATACATTTCTAACTTCTTTATACCTAATGTTTTCGTCCCTTGGTGTGACAGTGGTAAGTCTATGGACTAACAATGCTAAAATCTGGGGTTTGATTCCCCGTGGTAGACACACCAGATAACCCCATATGGTTTTGCTTAAATAATAATAATAACAACAACCTAACATTTTTATTTCCGGTAGAATTGCACCGGAAATGAGAAACACTTATAAAAACACATTCAAAGCTACTCAAAACACTTCCGGATTTCCAGGGTGGCCTGCATGACGTCACTCAAACTTCACTTTACCTCACATTTTGCTTTACTCAGTCATGCTTATTTTGCCGCTGGAGAAGAAAGATCCACTTTTCGAAAGCGCTCTGGTTATAGGGTATCATATTTTTGTGTTAAATTGATTTCTTGAACCTACGTGTTTCCCTAGCATCAGAAATTCATAAATAGCGTTTATCGTCAAACATGACGCGGCAAGTACTACCATCTCCACCCCATAAACACGCTTCCAGTAGTTGAGATATATGAGGGTTCTAATTCTAAAACCGGGTTTCGTTACCCGTTGTAGACGCAGCATAGATAGTCCATTGTGCACCTTTCTGCTTAACTACCAATAAACCATAAACACAGAATTTAAGATTTGCAGTTTATTTGACAAATTAACTATTAGCTTTATTATCGGGATATTTATCTTATTATTTTCATTGTTTTAATAATTTGTTGTTTATCAAGGATACACTCGGAACAGTTTATTATCGTTTTCAGAAATTTGCTTATTAGCTAGGTGTAACTGCTAAGCCGCTTTTGCTAATCAATTTAATAATGAATGATCGTCTTTTAAGCATTTAATGCTAACATAACATAATATTTAGGACAACAAAGGACTTACTGGCCCATCTTGGCTTTCCAATCCACTGAACTAAACTAAAACTTTTAAATAAAAAAAAACTCAAACCAACCCTTATCATTCATATAGTTATAAATCTTTCTCTTGAACTCACTTAAAATTATTGCCTCCACAAAATCCGAAAGCAACTCGTTCCAAAGGCCATCCATCCTGTTAGAAAAATAAAATTGCCTTAGCTGAAGATGACTCCTACTCTACCAAAATTTCTATTTGTGTCCCCTCATCCTACCATTCTCACCATTAACTATGAAAAAAAAGATGATGCAGCAACACTATCAATTCCCTTTACAATCTTAAAAACCTCAATCAGATCCCCTATAACTCTTCTCTTTTTAAGAGGAAACAATTTCAGAGATCTTAACCTCTCCATCCCAAGCAACCATTCTAGTAGCTCTTCTCAGAACCATTTCCAACAATTCAATGTCCTTGCTAAGGTAAGAAGCCAAAGACTGAATACTATAGTCCAAATGTGGCCTAACCAGTGACCTATACAATTAAATTATAACCTCTTTAAACTTGCATTCAGTATTTCTGTAGATAAACCTTAAATCCTATTTGCCCTACCACTAGCAACAACACACTGCTTGGGTGACTTAAGAGACTCATCAATCACTACACCAAGATTCATTTCTTTCATAACAGTGTTAAACTTATTCCCATCCAAATTATACTTAAAATTCAAATTATGATAACCCACGTTGTCTTGCATTTATTATAACTAAAACCCATCTACCATTTATTTGGCCAACTCACTAAATGATCTAAATCCCTTTGTAAAGGGGCAGCCTCCTCCTCTCAGTTAGCAACATCCAAGACCTTAATATTATCAGCAAAGTTAAGTAATTTATCGACCATTCCTTCATCTATGTCATTGATGTAAAACAAAAAGAGCAAAGGTCCTAAAATTAAGCACTGAAGTACACCACTTGTGATATTAGTACAGCTTGACTGAACTCCATGTATAACAGTCTTCTGCTTTCTTCCATCCAGCCACTCGTCTATCGAATTAGCTAACTTGTCCCCACATCTATAGAGATAATTTTTTTCAAGCCTTTTATGTGGAACCTTATCAAATGCTTTCTGAAATTCCAGATACATAAAATGTACACTATTGTCCTCATCTACATAAGCAATAACCTTTACAAAGTATGTCAAAATATTTATAAGGCAAGATTTTCCCTCAGTGAAACCATGTTGACTAATTCTAAACTTTGTTAAATGAATTTGCAAAGCATCTTTTATCAGACTTTCCTAAACTTTTCCCACAACTGATGTAAGAGTAATAGGTCTATAATTACTGGAAAAAGTAAGTGGTCCCTCAACCCTCAATTTTCTTTTGTTACCTAAGTTCGAAACTGCTGTTATAAAAGTGTTGTCTTAAAACAGTTTACTTCTCACATTTCTCTCTGTTTTCAAGTTGAGATTAAAAAACAAACAAATTTTCGAATACATACCGAACTGAGATAAATCTATGCATTCTTTCTTAGAATCTGGAGCACTTAAATTATTACACAGTCCCCGGCTTATTTGAAAAACAAACAGAATGACAATCACACATGTCAGAATGGTAATCCATCCTATCTGCACAAGGTAGGCTGTCACCAGAAACTAGAAGAAAATGACATAAGTAAAAAAAATACTATTACAGCTCAAATATTTAGAAACAAATTATTATGGGACGGAAATAATTAATAAAAAAGGTATTCCAGTTTTAAAATATATAGGAAAAAGGGAATGAAATAATCTGTTCCAGTTTCTCTGCTTAACATGCACACCCTAAATTATAGATAATCTAAACTTTCGTTCTTTTGTTCTTAAAATATATTAAAGGAGACATATCGTGATTACATTTATGATGATACTCTTTTAAATAATTGTCAAATGTCTTTAAATAAAAAAATCATGTAATGTCCTTAGATTAGAATTTTTGTTAATTAATTAGATTATGTTGAGTGATCTAACTTTCATTGTTACAATAGTATAATTCTAAGAAGATATATTTTCGAATACATCTTTTTAAGGCAAGATAAATGTTCCAGTGGCACAGAGGTATGTCTACGAACTTACAACGCTAGAATCCGGGATTCGATACCCGTGGTGGGTAGAGCACAGATAGCTCGTTGTGTAGCTTTGTGCTTAATTACAAACAAAACAAAACTAATGCAGAGTATATGTTATATTTCCATTTGCTTTTGTTTCCCGTATCTACTGTGCAGCTTTCCCTTTTTTTCTTTTTCTTCGTATTGTTATGTTACATATCACAATTTTGAATAGTCTGAAACCCAGCTAAATAACAATTTAAATTCAGTAATTAAATATTTGCCGATATGTCTCCAATTTATGATATTTGCCAACAAGATTGATATACATAATTTTCTTTTTAATACAAATATGCTTTAATATACAAACAACAATACAAATTACAATAACGGTTATTGCAAATATTTACCATGAACAATGATTTATATACAAAAGTTTCACAAACTTACAAGCAATATAAAGTCTTCTATTTAGTCTGGAACTTCCTTGATATATTTGAGATATATCGGCGAATATTTAAATACTGAATTTAAATTATCATTTAGCTAGGTTTCAGACCACTCAAAATTGTAATACGTAACATAACAAACTGCGGGCTCGTCCAGGATCTAAATTAAAACTTAAATCATAATTCCATTTATATCTATCAGTGCCAAAAAGATTTGATCATGTCTGATTATCAAGATTTTCTTGAACCACCCTTCCTCGAACAACTAGAAAGAAGTAAAAAAATAAATTGCTCGAAATTGCCAAAGTTTTAGAACTAGAAGTTAAAAGATCAATGAGAAAAAATGAGCTAAAAAGCGTATGATCGAAATACTAGTCGATGATGATTTGTTGCCTGAGGAAGCATTAGAGGAATGTTATAGTGTCCCTCCTAGCCAATCGGGGTTGAGTGATAAAGATAAATTAGAGATCCAACTAAACCAAAAATAAATCGAACTTGAAGAAGCTCGTATCGAAGCTGAAAGAGAAAATAAACGCCTCGAGGCCGAAAAAGCTCGTATCGAAACTGAAAAAGAACATGCTCGTATCGAAGCCGAAAAAGAGAAAGAACAGGCTCATATCGAAGTTGAAAGAGAAGATAAACGTCTCGTGGCCGAAAAAGCTTGCATTGAAGCCGAAAAGGAAATTAGGCTGAAAGAAATGAAAATTAAACTCAACACTGATCGACCATGGCAAAGTGATAACTTTGAACTTAATTGATATGTTAAAGTATCACCATTTAATGAAAATGAAGTTGAAAAATATTTCCAACATTTTGAGAAGGTTACCCAAACTATGCAATGGCCCATCGAAAAATGGTCATTATTATTACAAAGTGTCTTAACTGGTAAAGTACAAGAAGCTTATGCAGCTCTCTCTTTACAAGATTGTACAAATTATGATAAGGTTAAAGCAGCTATTCTCAAAGCATACGAGGTAGTACCAGAGACTTATTACCAAAAGGTTCGAGGTTATTGCAAACAAAATATTCAAACTTATACGGAATTTGCCCACGAAAAAGAGCTTTGTTTTGATCGATGGTGTAACTCTATACATATTGGCAATAGTTTTGACAAACTAAGACAATTATAAATATGCACTACTGGTACTTGTGTTTGAAATTTTAAATTATAATAAATAATTAAAAACAACGTTTTGTATTTACAGAATAAAAACTTATTTTATTGTATAAATACAAAACGTTGTTTTAAATTATTTATTATAATTTAGGACAATTATGTCTAATTGAGGAATTTCAACATTGTGCACGTGATGACCTCAAAACTTACTTGGATGAAAATAAAGTTGAAACACTACAGGAAGTAGCCGCTCTTTCCAATGACAACACTTTAACACATAAAACCACTTTGCAGAAGAAGAAATTCCCACCATCTCAACAAAAACCTCTATCTGTTCAATCCACTAAAGTTGAGGATCTTTCTAAAAAATCCAGCTCCTCTAGTTCGAAATCTTTTGACAGTCAGGATAAAACTTCTTTAAAACAATCAAGGCCTGTCTGCCATTTTTGTAAAAAACCTGATCATGTTATGTCCGTTTGTTGGTGTTTGAAAAAGAAAAAAGAAAAGCAGGCAACACCCAGTGCGTTTGTGTCCACATATGGACGTAGTTTCACCAGATCATCCAATGTTGTTGATATGGCCAGTGATATAAAGGCTGATGTAATCAGGAAGGAATTTAGACCTCTTGTGTCTGTTGGTTCTGTGTCTTTAAGAAATGACACTGGCAAGTCCATACCCATACATATTCTTTGTGATACTGGGGCGCCTCAGTCATTGTTGTTAGAAGGTATATTGCCTTTAGATTCGAGTTCTGCCACTGGTAAGTCTGTTATTGCTCAGGGTATTGAGGGTGGCTTCGTTAATATTCCTCTTCATAACATTTATTTAGCATCAGACCTACTTTCGGGACCAGTTGTAGTTGGAGTAAGACCTACTCTGCCAATTAAAAGTGTATCATGGTTGTTGGGAAACGATTTGGCTGGGGGAAAAGTAGTTGCCGAACCCAAAATGGTTAGTGAGCCGATCACTGTTTCATCTAAGAATGATGTTGCAGTTGAGGAGAACCCAGATGTGTTTCCCTCGTGTGCTATGACTCGAGCTGAGGCTAAGAAATTAAACCAAAAACAAATGATGGACAGGGATTCAGAGGACGATATTATACATTTGTCTCATTATTCATTTTTTGGATCTGACAGGGATCTTGTGGATGGTTGGCCTACTAATGATACCTTGGTGAGTGATAATCATGGATGTGAAGGATCTGATGCACCTGGTGAAGTTCCGTTTGCTAAAAGTAAACTGATTGCTGAACAAGAAAAAAGATCTGCAAATATCTTCACTATTTAAATATGCACTCCGAAAAGTTTCAAATGGTTAGTTTTTCAAAAATGGTGTGCTTATGAAAAAACAAAGATCATCAGATGTGCCAGCTTCAGAGCAGTGGCCTATTGTTTACAAAATCATTGTTCCCAAAGCATATCGTTCTGAAATAATGAAAGTTGCTCATGAATTCCCCATGCGATGTCATTTGGGTGTCAACAAGACATGTGACAAAAGTGTGAGACATTTCTTTTGGCCAAAAATTAGGCAAGATGTTTCTCAATTTTGTAAAACTTGTCATACCTGCAGTTGGTCGGAAAACCTAACCAAACAATTCCTGTTGCTCCTCTGAAACCTATCCCAGCATTCGAAGAACCCTTCAGTCGTGGGATTGTCGATTGTGTTGGGCCTTTACCAAAAACTCGATGAGGGAAATCAGTATTTGTTAACTATCATGTGTGCATTCACTCGATTCCCTGAAGCTATCCCTTTGAGAAACATTTCAGTCCAAAAAATTCTAAGGCTTTCATCAATTTCTTTACATTTGTTGGCTTGCCCAAAGAAATTCAATCTGATCAACGATCAAATTTTATGTCATGATTGTTTCAACAAGTTGTTTGTCAGCTCGGTGCTCAACAGGTCAAATGAATGCGTATCGTCCAGAATTTCAAGGTGCTCTTGAGAGATTCCATTCTACCTTGAAAAATATGATGCGAACATACAGTCTCGATGACGAGAAGGATTGGGATGAAGGAGTTAATTTATCATTATTTGCTGTTCGTGAGTCAGTTCAGGAGTCGTTAGCCCGTTAGAGTTGGTGTTTGACTATGCAGTGCGTGGTTCCTTTGAAGTTACTGAAGGAACAATGGTTGGAAGATGATCTGAAAGAAATGCAATTATTGGATTAAGTTTCCAAACTCGATCCATACTCTTATGTGCTTGTAAAATGGCTCGAGAAAATTTGAAGGCATCCCAGACCAGAACGAAAAACGTTTATGATCGCAAGGCTGAACAATGTAAATTCCGTTCTGGTGACATAGTTTTAGCATTGTTACCCACTATAGGACATTCACTCAAAAAAAAAAAAACAGAGAGAGAAGAAAGGAAGAAAGAAACGAAAAACACATAAGACTGTTAAATTGCAGTTTATCAATATGAGAATATGGTGTGAAGATAATTCATGTCACAAGGGTTGATACTATTTGTGCCGATGTACTTTCATGAACTATGTAATTTTTTGATCATAAGGTTATTTGTATTAGATGTGTTTTACACTGCAATTATTATTGAAGTTTTGTATTCTTTAGATAATGTATTATATTTAACGTATTGTTGTCAATGTATATATATATATATATATATATATAATATTTTAGCTAAAAATTGTCTAACGCTAATTCATAATTCTATAAGGAGGGAGTTGTGACGGATTTATTATTATCTATTTATCTTAATATCGACGTTTCTTTAGAGTAAATTTATATTTAGAAATATGCAAAGCTTATACTGTTAAATATGTATTGTGAAACTCCCGCCTATTCTCAAAGTTTCTCGAGTGTAAGAATCAACTATATATTTGTGTACGTAAACGCCAGTGTAGCACACCAATTACAGGAACCCAATAATAGATACTCCTTTTAGGCGCTTCGCGTTGGTTATATTCATAGGCGTGTGGAGAGTTTCTCGAAAATTCAGATTACGTAACAGTACAAAGCTACACTTGTAAATTGTTGATTATTACACTCGATAAACCTTAGAGAACAGGCGGGGGTTTCGCATAACATATTTAACAGTATAAGCTATACATATTTCTTAATATGAATTTAATCTAAACAAACGTCTATATTAAAATAAATATATAATAATAAATCCGTCACAGTATAAATAAACACTTTTCTATTCTTTATGAAAACTGAAACATTCATAGTAATTATTAAGCTTTTTTTTTGTT